GACTGCTAGGCAGGTATACTTAAATCTGCTGCAGCAGAACTCATAAAGCCCCCTTTTTTTTTCCTCAGGTGCTCTGTCCCGGTGAGTTAGGGCTTTATTTATGAGTATCCATAGTCTAGTCACTGTCTGCCTGTAGTGGCTCTGCCCTATTGCCATGGGCTCCGTCCTGTTGCCACGGGCTCTGCCCTGCTGCCATGGGCTCTGCCCTGCTGTCATGAGCTCCGCCCTGCTGCCATGTGTAATTCCCTGTAGTCCTGTTTATATGGGTGTGGATAGAACTGTGGTGGCGATGGTGGCCCACCTCTGTAGTGGTGGACTCTCTCTGTTATGGCAGGTTGCCTTGGCAATGGCAGGCTGTGTCAGCAATGGCAGAGTACCTCCTTAGGGGTTGTGTGCCTCAGTAATGGCAGAGCCCCTCTGCCACCGAGCTGCACTGTCCTGGGTTCAGCTGTGCTTGCCATGAAACTCTCAACCCCAAGCATTTTCAATTGTTGTTTTGTTTGTTTTTGTGGGGGTGGGACCTGCTAAGTCTGATCACCTGGCTCCCTGCCTCAGAGCCCTTTTTTTTTTTAAGTTGAATGGTTTACTCTCTCCCAGGTGTTCCAGTCACCTTCTGCAAGGGCGCCGGGATCTGTGTGATTTCTTGTGCAGCGACCCACTGTGCCGGCTCAAACAATGTTGCTGCCCGGGAATCTCCTGGCCTGGCTTTCTGTTTAAGTCCCGTTTAATGTGCTAATCTGTGTCCTGAAATCTCCAGTTGCTGGTTTAACAGGGCAACCAAACCAGTGTATTTTGTACAGAGTGCCGCTGCGCTGTGGCCCTGGCCCAAACAGCCGTGCCAGCCAAAACTGCCGCACTGGCCCAAACTTCCACCTGCGCCCCGTGGGGCTCCTCCACCTGGGAATCTCCTGGTGTGTGGGCAATAAAGATCCATCTGGAAATTCGGTGTCCACTCACCCTCTGTGATTTCACTGGGTGCTGCAATCCTGAGTTGGTCCTACAGTGTCATCTTCCTCACTCCTCCAGTCCACAACTTTCTGTCTAGATCATGATGTTTTACAAGTTTACATGGCAAATCATCTACTATGTGTCCTAAATATTATAATGTGTCCCAAATTTTCATCTGTCTGTTGAATTTTTTCTACTTTGCCATAAAGATAGTCCCTGGAACAGTGATGTTTGTCAAAGAGACTTGAGGTTTCAGAGTAATGTATTGTAGTGTAAAGCTGTGTAGAATTGAAATAAAAGGTAAGATAAATGGCGTAATATAAAGCCAGCTCCTCCCTAGAGTATTTTTATTAGAACATACCAGAAATTTCTGTGGCAAGTTTATAAGCATAGTCAAAGTAGCAAAGAGTATCTTAATACAATTTTTAAGTGTGACCAAATATCTGAAGAGCAACAGATTTTTTTTTAAGACATTGTGAAACATGCTTACACTACATAAGTGGATTGCACTGTAATTACTGATGACTTATTTCTTGTTATTTTGAATCCTGCATTATTGTGATTTCTCTAGATAAAATATTTCCAATTTTTAAGGACTATTTATTCTGTTTAATTTTCTGAAATCTACTTTTTTAGAAAACAAACATGTACCTATGTTTGTATTCCTTCATATGTATTGCCAATATTTAATATTCTACTGTGAATCATGGTTTTCCCATTTTCAAAATAAAAAAATTAAACTATATAGTAAAGTTCATCTGCACCACATTTTAGAAATTGAAAGTACATTGTGGGTGAGATGCTAATTTTCCTACCCTCACCTTAACTGGAAGAATCTGGTTTTATCTATTTCTTATTATGGGGTTTTAGATTCTTTAAAAATGCTTTCATTTGCAACTAACAGAAAATCCCACTCAAACTGGGTGAAGCATAGAAGATAATCTATTTATTTACTTAACTAAGAAGGCTAGAGGCAACTGGCTTGGGAAACAGCTTGATCCAGCAGGTTAACTATATTTACATTAGAGGCTCATTTCTTTATATTTCTCATAGATTTGCCTCTGTGCTGGCTTTGGCCTAAGGCAAGAACTGCTAATGGTAGCAGCCGTGGCTCCTGGCAGTTCCAGCCTTCATATCCTCATCCTCTCAATCAGTGAAGTTTTTCTAGCCCAATAGTCCCAGGCAATTCTTTAAGAATCAGTCTGATTGAATCAGCAGAGATCACTTGCCTACCCTAAAGCAGTCACGGTGCCAGAGAAATATAAGATGCATGGCTTACACCAATCACCAACCCAAATTAGAGCTGAATTGGGGTCAATCTTATGTAATATATGTGAAAAGGGTATTTTCACAAATAAAATTTAGGTACCTTGTATCAAAGAGACACAATACCAAGGAATAGATGCCTACCTATGGTACATTTAAAATACTGCCTGAAAAAAGATTTTCATTACTAAAGAGAAGTTTGGAAGCTCTAGAAAAGACCATCCCTAAGCTTTTCCAACTCTACATTTCTGATTCCACTTTCCTTTCATTCGACCCTAAAATATTCTAGGACCACAGCTGATCTCATTAAAACTCAGAATGGGTTAATGGCTTGAGGCAGCAAGCATTACTACAAATAATGTCTCATATATTCTCAGCAAGAAACTCCTGGTGGTGCATCCCACAATTTTCATTAACACAGGGGCCAACGCACAGTTATTTAAATGAGAAATTTTTTTTTAAGATGAATGATTCCCTGAGGGTTGACACTCACCCCTTATTGTCATTTGGTAAGTGGAGCTGGTTATAGTCTCCAAACAACAACAATGAAAAAAAGTCTTCCAATTGTTATGTAAGATTCCACTAAAGAAAAGTAATATTTTCATTTGTTATGAAGGGATTAGAGAGTCCTCGTATTCCATTCAAGTTTCTCTCATGAAATAAAACCCTTAGGTGCCTGCTGGGAGATTAGCTGATGCCATTCCTAGCCCCATAACAATGAAGAGGGCTTTAACAGCTAACCCTGTATTTGGAACTTGGAGGCCCATTTTTAGATGCAAGCACAATGAAGTCAAACATTGAATCACAAAGAAAGCAATCAATCAATACACACAGGTACCTTCTCTGTATAAGGGTATAATGAAGAGAGCCTGGCTGGAAAGTCAGGTGAGCCACCTTTAAGAAGTATTGCCAATCCAGTATCTTCTTTCAAGGCCCCTGTCTTTTCTTGATGTTGTTCCCTTAATCTGAAAAGCTTTCTTCTCCTTTATCCTCAAAGCCAAGCTCTGAAGTCATCCCCTGTGATAGACCACCATCCATCAACCAGAATTACAAATTTTTAAAGGTTCCTAATATAATCCCAAGATCAGTCCTTACCACTGATAGTGTCTTTGGTATTCTGCTTCCCCACTGGGACAAATTTTTAGCTCTCAATTTCTACGTTTGTAAAATGGTGACAATAATGCTTCTTTAGAGTGACTGTAAGAATACATGAGTAAAAGCACTGGAAATGCTTCATAAATATTTGGCATTCTAACTCTCACACATGCAAATTCTATCCCTATAAGAAGGTTAAAATGAAAATAAGTTAGTAACATGAGCAAGGATGAGGTCTTGACTCAGCATTTAAACCAGACACATCCATAACTGTTACTGAAGAAACAAATTCCTGAACACTTCGCTATACCACAGTTGAGCCATGCCACTGATCACTAACCACCTGGGATTAACAGTGCCTTGCAGATAGATTCCAGCATTCCCTGGGCCTGTTCAGTGCCTGCCACGCATCTGCATTGCTCATGCGGAATATTTTCTTTGAAATATGGGTTCCCACTGAGAGGAACAACATATTCCCTTTGTTGGATGTGCAGAAGCAGGATTTGGATGGCTATCCCCAAGGATATCTCCTAGTACAGAAGGAACCTTGCATTGTCCACAACATTATGGCAACAGTAGATGTGACTATTATTCCAGGCCCCTAAGTGAGTAGGTTTTTCTTTTTCTTTCGTTATTTTTAAAAAAATATCTTTTATTTTTCCAGGCTTTGGTAGTTACTTAATTCTAGTTCCTCAGTTTTCCTACCAGTATAGAGAAAATAAATTCTGGCCTCCATTTTATTTTCCCATTAAGAGATGATAACACATGAGTTAATAATAGAAGATTTGTGTTATGAAATACTTGGAAGTAAAATTGAGAATAAATCTATGATTTTACCTTAGTACATGAATAATTCATATGCCTAAGCAGCACATATATTCCAAATATATTCGAACCTTTCTCCATAAAACACCCAACCCTCACAGGGGCCACATTAAATCATTTCACGCTTCTTTGACTAGGATCACAATTTGATCCAGTAAAAAATGAAAAATAAAAACAAATGTAAAATGATAAAAAAGTAAAAAATGAAAAATGAGAACAAAACACCTTTTTCATTTCCTCTTTCCACTTTTTACAATCAAGGCAGAAGCTGCTGATTTGAAGAATACTTATGTAACGTTTTGAATGCTGCCTCTGATAGTAACCTCTGGTGGATCCCCTCCAACTACGGAACCTTCAGCACTACTGGTTCCCTGATGATACAAGTTCCCACTTGTTGACAGGGCTTAGTTGGACCTGTTTGAGTACAGATTGCTTCTTCTCATCTCCCACCATGGTACCCAAGTAGAAACAAAGGAAAATGGCTGTGCTTATAGGCAGTTTTACGGATGAGATGTAGAGTTGATGAACTCTCTCTTTTCCTGCTTGGTTCAGAATGCCAGGATGCTAAGCTTGCACAACCTCACTTCTTAGGAATGAGCCCCGTTTGGATCCATTCTGCTTAAACAAGGAAGAAAAGTTAGAACCAAGATGTAAAGAGGGCAGCGCCTAAATTATTGCTCTGTTTCTTTTCTAGCTGTATGACCAAGCATGGCTGTATCTCAGTTTTATCATTTGTGGGAAGGGGATAATCTAGAACTGCTGGGTGCCTGTGTGACATATCAGTGATATTATTATTTAAAAGTGTTTGTTTATGGTAGGTACTCAATAACCATTTGCTTCTGTTCTTGTTTGCTTCCCTATTCTAGGTTTATTCTGTTGACGGAAGAGGAAATGATCAACCACAGTTATGCGAATAGGAGCCTGACTTGAATGTAATTTCACAAGTGCAGAGCCAAGGCTGGATAAAATTGAGGAGGTACTAACATTGTTTTTGAACTGACTGCATCATTCCTGTGTCCTGTGTTACCCTGGTGGTGTCTGTTCTGCTTTTTCCCTTGGGCACCTGGACCTTTTGTGTCCTTTTTCTTCCTCTTAACATCCTGTCTCCAGAAAATATGCAAGAAACTTACCAAACTAAGGTGTGAAAGACTGATAAGGATGGGTGGATAGACAGATAGATAGACAGACAAAAATGTAACTCAAATTAAGGAAGTACGTACTGTGGAATATTGAGCTTAACCAAGTCAATGTTTGATTTCCTCATTCGCATATCTTATTTATTCAGCAAATATGCACAGAGTTCCTCTCAGTGCCAGGCTGAGTGGCGTGGAGTACATGAGTGAGGCATGGCCCCTGTCCTCAAGGGTCTCCCAGTCTTATGGGGCACAGCTGTATAAATGTAAATACTAACAAAAATAGAGAACTTAGTATGTGCCAAGCACTATTCTATGTGCTTTACATATATTAATTCATTTACTGTTTGCCACAGCCCTGTGAGTCGGTTACTATGATCACTTATGGTTTAGAGTAAAGAAACTAAATCAGAAAGGTTAAATGTCCTACTTAAGGTTAGACAGATAGTTAATGTGGTTTAGCTCCTGAGTTATTGCTTATTACCTCTATGCCTTACTGTCTCACTACACACAAGACAGTACAGTTACTTCTAGGAGTCTACTGTTAGGAAGTAATCACTGATGCAGACAAAGACTATGAGTAGTAAATTTGATAAAGCAAAAGGAACAGGGAAAATCATAACAATCTATCAGTAGCACAATGCCAAAGTTAATTATAATACATATATATGAGGAAACATTCATAAGCATTAAAAGAAACAAGGCTGTCACTCTAAACTTCAAGTGAAAAAAGAAAGTACAAAATACAATTTATATTCGTTAGTTTAAATTTTTAAAGTATGTGTAATATATAAATATATCTGTATTTTCAAAGTGCTTGTTGGCCAGGCTTGGTGGCTCACACCTGTAATCCCAGCATTTTGAGAGGTCAATGTGAGCAGATCACATCACAAGGTCAGGATATTGCGACCATCCTGGCCAACATGGTGAAAACCCATCTCTACTAAAAATACAAAAACAGCTGGGTGTGGTGGAGCATGCCTGTAATCCCAGCTACTTGCGAGGCTAAGGCAGGAGAATTGCTTGAGCCCATGAGTCGGAGGTTGCAGTGAGCCAAGATCATGCCACTGAACTCCAGCCTCGTGACAGAGCAAGAGTCCGTCTCAAAATAAAAAAGTGTTTGTTGTACAGTAGTCACTTAATTATTGGCCTTTATCCTTGTCAGATAGTGTGTAAGGCAATTAATATCAACACATATACAATACACTCTCTGACCTGGAGGAGTGTCTAGATTAGGGAGAAGCTAGATATTTTAATAATTGAGCTTCAGGCACATTAGAGGGTTGTTTACAGGGCAGGGGTGCCCAAGGGATTTGGGCTTGGCTGTGAGCGGTGGGGAGGGATCAAGGAAACATTCACAGAGTAAGACAGCCTTGCTCTTTCCATCTTGCACCTCTTCTTCAAAGGACAAACCGATATTCTTTGTTTATGTTTGTCTCTTTAAGAAAGAACCAGAGAATGTCAAAGAACATCTGTCTTTCTCCAAACCTCCAGTGACCTTCCAGCAAGTCTGTCTTTGACTACTTCCATTATGCCAGCTGAGAGGTCCAATCTGTTTTAATCCTTTCCCAATGTTCACGGAGATGTGTCATTTTAATCCAGGAGCTCCTCTAGTCTCCGGGATGGAAAGAGAGTTGAAGCTCAAATCCTGGCTTCTGACCTGAAACTTTCTCTAGCTGGGATACTCTCCAGAGTTGCAGCTGGGTTTTTGACACTCTTAAGAGTGGCATCCCTTCTCCAAGATACTCTGCCACTAGTGCTTCGCAATGAGTGAGAAGGAATCAGCACACTCCTGTTGACTGCATGCTGACTGTGCATCAGGCATTGCCCCTGCATTTTTCTCCTCTCTGTATAATAATTATATGATGTTGGTTTTATTATCTACAATTTAAAGGTGAAAAGGTCTAACTCAGCACAGGTGATGGTCGTGCCAACTGAGGTCTTATGGACATTTATAACTAGAGTGCCTAATATCATTCTTGGCATATAGAGGGAATTCTATCCGTAGTTTTATTTTTGATTCTCACAGATTCTAAGCGGCAGGTTTGATTCTGGAATCTAGGTGTACAGGATCCCTGAAACTTTTCTTTTTCTACTCTGGCAAGCTGCTTCTCAGCCTGGATTCTCACCTGCCACAGTGTTCTTTTTGTGGGTATTTTTCCTTCCTGGCAGCTCTTACTTATTAAGAGGAGATAGGTTCATCCACTCTGGCCACCTCGTAACTATCAGTAATTCGTGATGGTTTCTAGATCAAAGAGCTGGGGAGCATTTCTGGGTGGAGTGTGGGAACCCTCTGGATGTTTGCTGGAATGCTGTTCCACACTGTGTACCTGGGAGGGTAATCTTTCATCCTTTCTGAGCCTTCTTTAGAAGCCTATCAAACAACTCCAGGCCTTTTCCTTGTCCCTTTTATCACCCTAGGGAACAAAGTTGGGACTTGTGTAACTGCAGGGCTCTTTTCTGTGGGAACAATAATCTCATTTCAATATGTGTGGGTGGGTAGATTATACGTTAAGGGCTTGGAGCTCATTTGTAGGACTAGGGAGGGACTGGGTTAAATAGTTGTATGATTAACAAACTGCTGTGTTTTTATGGTCTGGAAAGAAAAGGTTTCTTCAATATTATCAGTTCAGATTGGGAATGATTCACCCAAAAGTATTCAATAGTTTGGGTGGTAGGTGTGGGGTGTGGCAAAGAATTTACCCCCCCCCACCTCCGGGAAAAGAAAGGTATATAGTATACTTGGAAAAGTTTAATCTCTCTTTTAAAAAAATTTCTTTTTTTCCTTATGGAAAAGTCTCTAAAATTATGGAGAGAATTTGCCATATAATAAATATGGCTTTGTGTTCTATCTGGGCATATTATTAGCAATATATGTTAGATGGAGCAGGGATTTGGGAATCAGTTGTCAATATAGGTGATTTTGAGTGGTCAGAACATTGCTTTGGATTGTACTTATCTTGCTGTAAGGGCAGGTTTTACTAGATAATCTTTCCGGTTTCTTACAGGTGCATTCATTCACTGAGTGCTTATTGAGCACATCTTACAACTGAACAAACTGGTGTTGGGCTCCAGGGTCTATCAGCATGGCTCTTGTTCCTTGCCTGAATTCGGAAACAATTGAGAGAAAGATAGTGCAGTGAGACAGATGAGGATCAGAATATCACCACCACTATAGATAAACAGTATTGTGGGTTTACAGTCAAAGGAAACAGCAGTAATGGCTTTCTTAACCCCAAATATCAGAATAAAATAAATTTATTCAACCAATCTCAAGCACGGCTGGGTCATTACAGGGTTTCCCCATCCTTGTATTGATGGGGGAATCCTTCTTCAGAAAAGCTTGAGGCATGGAGGAGAAGAGCAAAATCTACTCTTTATTCTCAGGTACACTTTCAAAGAATGAAAAAATGGAGAGGCTGTACCAACAAGCTTAGATCCTTCTTCCAAAGGCACCCAGTAGCTAAGTCACTCTTCCTCTCAATGGAAGGTAAACTTCTAATACTTAGAGTTTAGAGTAAATTCTTCCTGATATGTTTTGAATGTGTCACCACCCAAATCTCATGTTAAATTGTAATCCCCAATGCTGGAGGAGGGGCCAGGTAGGAGGTGACTGGATCAGCAGGGTGGATTTTTCCTTTGCTGTTATCATGATAGTGAGTGAGTTCTCATGACATCTGGTTATTTAAAAGTGTGTAGTGCCTCCCCTTTTGCCCTCTTCCTCATGCTCCAGACATGTAGGACATGCTTTGCTTCCCCTTTGCCTGTTGCAACATGAAACATGATTGTAAGTTTCCTGAGGTCTCCCCAGCCATGCTTCCTGTATAGCCTGCAGAGGTGTGAACCAATTAAACCTCTTTTCTTTATGAATTACCTGATCTCAGGTAGTTCTTTATAGCAATTCAAGAACTGACTAATATACCTCCTTATAAAAATCAGAAAAGATAGGAATAACAGTTGTGGTATAACCAGTAGAGACTCTCCAAAGAGCCACTGCTCACTTATACTTCTCAGCCTCCCTTATTGTTAAGATTAAAGGCATGTGACTAAAGCAGGCCAGTGGACTTGAGTAAAAGTAATGTGTGTAAGCTAATTAATTACAACCCTCCTCTGTCCCTCTTAGCCTCTGCCTTGGTGACTCTGGAGGCCGTATGTTCTAGACAGCATGACTATAAGGAAAGGGAGGATGTCTGACCTGAAATGAATTTTAAGTGGCAAATCCATCTGTGGTCTGAAGCAGCTCTTTTCTCTTCAGCAAGAGTATCCTTGTCTGGTTCCAGATCTTAGCGCTGTAGCCATTACCATTCACCTTACCTTTCAATGCAGCTAACACTGCCACTCTCACCAACTTCCTCTTGGCCCCTGAACAATTTGAGTTGGGTTTTTAATGGCTTATAATAAAATTTAATTGATATAGAGGCTAAAATTCACATTAAAGAAAAAGAAAGATACCAATGGACCAAGTGTTGGCTATTTTGCTGATCTAAAGCCTCTTCGCTATTTTCTCCAAAAATCTGGGATGCTTACAGTGGTTCTAATAATTGCCTGAGGAAAAAGCTCACGGTTAAATCATTTACCTTCCTTAGTGGAAAACATTTATTGAGAATAAAGGAAAACTGCTTCTATTTAATCAAAACGTATTACTCAAGTTACAAAATGGGAAAAACTTTAACATTGCAAAAAAAGAACATAAAACTCATTTGAAACCAGGCAGTAAAAAATCCCATAATTATATTAACAGGATGAAGGATAAAAAGCATTTGATCATCTCATTAGATGCAGAAAAAACACTGTCAAAATTTTACATCCTTTCATGATAAAAATTCTCACCAAATTATGTATT